TTGTCAGATATACAGTTGACAAATATTTGTTCCCATTCTGTGGGCTGTCTTCCTGCTTTCTTGATGGTTTCTGTTGCTTTGCAGAAGCTCATTAGTTTGATAAGGCCCCACTTGTCTGTCTTATTTCTTAAGGTATTGGACTTAAGGGTTCTAAAAAGGAATTGGTTGCCAGTTCCAATTTCCATAAGGATGTCTCCAGCGTTTTCTAAGATTCTTATAGTTTGAGGTTTTACGTTTAGGTCTTTGACCCATTTAGAGTTAACTTTTGTGTATGATGATAGGTAGGGGTCCTGTTTCAATCTTCTGCACGTGGTCAGCCAGTTTTTCCAGCACCATTTACTGAATAGGTTCTTCTCTTCTCAGTGGTTGTTGATAGAGACTTTGTCAAAGATGAGTTGGTTGAGGAATCGAGGCTTTGCTTCCGGAATCTCTATCCTGTTCCATTGGTCTATGTGCCTGTTCTTTCTTGTACCAATACCAGGTTGTTTTGATTACTGTAGCCTTATACTAAAGTTTGAAGTCTGGAGTGTGATACCTCCTGCTTTGTTTCTTTTGCTAAGGATTGTTTTGGCTATTCGTGGTCATTTATGTTTCCATATGAATTTCTGTATTGTCATTTCCAGGTCTGAGAAGAATGATGCTGGTAACTTAATGGATATTGAGTTGAATCTATAGATTGCTTTGGGTTGGATGGACATTTTAGCAATGTTGATTCTTCCTTTCCATGAGCATGGAATATTTTTCCATTTGTTTGTGTCTTCTTGGATTTCTTTGAGCAGTGTTTTATAGTTCTCATTATACAGGTCTTTCACTTCTCTGGTTATGAAGATGCCAAGGTATTTCATTTTTTGTGTGGCTATTGTGAATGGGATTGTGCTTTTAATTTGGGTCTCTGCCTGCTTGTTGTTGGTGTATAGGAATGCAATTGTCTTTTGCACTTTTATTTTGTACCCCGAGACTTTGCCAAAGTCCTTTATCAGAGCATGCCAAAGTCCTTTATCAGAGCAAGCAGGGTTTTGACAGATTCTCTTGGATTTTCGAGGTATAGGATCATATCATCAGCAAAGAGGGATAACTTGACTTCCTCTTTTCCTATTTGGATACCCCTGATTTCCTTCTCTTGTCTAATTGCCCTAGCTAGAACTTCCAACATAATGTTGAACAAGAGGTTTGAGAGTGGGCAGACTTATCTTGTTCCAGTTTTCAGGGGAAATGTTGCCAGTTTCTGTCCATATGTTAGCTGTGGGTTTATCGTAGATGACACTATTTTGAGGTATGTTCCTTCTATATCTAGGTGTTTGAGGGTTTCTATCAAGAAGGGATACTGGATTTTATCAAAAGCTTTTTCTGCATCTAATGAGATAATCATATGGTTCTTGTTTTTACATCTGTTGATGAATTTCATTACATTCATGGTCTTGTGAATGTTGAACCAGCCCTGCATCCTGATTTGCTAGAGTCTTGTTGAGGATTTTTGCATCTATATTCATAAGGGATATTGACCTGTAGTTCTCTTTTTTTGTTGTTGGATCTTTGTTGGGTATCAGTGTGATGTTAGCATCATAAAATGATTTGTGGAGAATTCCATCGTTATCAATTGCCTGGAATACTTTCAGTAGGATTGGTATCAGCTTCTTCTTGTATGTTTTGTAGAATTCTGCTAGAAAGCTATCCAGTCCAGGGCTTTTTTTTTGTAGGTAGTTTTCCTATGACAGAGTCAACTTCCTGGATTGTTATTGGTCTATTTAGTGTCTCAATGTCTTCTTGTTTCAACCTGGGGAGGTTGTGTGATGTCAGAAAGTCCTCCATTTCATTTAGGTTATCAAGTTTGTTTCCATACAGTTGTACATACCAATCTCTGATGATCTTTTGTATTTCTTCAGGGTCAGTTTTGATTTGATTTTTTGTATTTCTGATTGTGTTTATTTGGTCTTTTTCTCTCTTTTCCTTGGTCATTCTGGCTAGGGGTCCATCAATCTTGTTAACTCTTTCAAAGAACCAACTTTTTGTTTTGTTGAAGTTTTCTATGATATTGTTGTCTTCTATGTCCCATATTTGGGCTCTTATTTTGGTGATTTGGATTCTTCTGCTAAAGTTGGGGTTTTGGTGGTCTTCTCTTTACAGCTCCCTTAGGTGATTTGTTAGGCTCTCCACTTGTGATCTTTCCATTTTCTTGATGTGTGCTCATAGAGATATAAATTCCCCTCTTAGAAATGTTTTCATGGCATCCTAGAGGTTTTGGCAAGATGTTTCTTCATTTTCATTTGTTTCCAGGAATCTTTTAATTTCTACTTTGATTTCAGTGTTGACCCAGTAGTTGTTCAGCATCATGCAGTTTAGTGTCCATGTCCTTATGGACTTTGGGGAAATACTGTTAGTGTTGATATTTATTTTTATTCCACTGTGGTCTGAGTAGGTGCATGGCAAAATTGCAACCTTATGGAATTTGTTTATGCTTGATTTATGGCCAAGAATATAATCGATCTTGGAGTATGTTCCACGTGGTGATGAGTAGAATGTATATTCTGTGGTTGTTGGATGGAATAATCTGTAGGTATTTATTAGTCCATTTGATTGAGTGTCAAGTTTAGGTTCTGGATCTCCTTGTTGATTTTTTGCATCAATGATCTATCTAGGGCTGTCAGTGGGGTATTCAAGTCCCCTGCTATAATAGTGTTAGAGTCAATATCTTTTTAAAGTTTATTTAGTAGTTGCTTTATCAATGCTGGTGCTCCTGTGTAGGGTGTTTAGGATGGATATTTCTTGTTGATGGATTGAACCTTTTATCATTATGTAGTGTCCTTTTGCATCTTTTAAAATTCTTGATTGCTTAAAGGTTATTTTGTAACTTCTGCCTTTTTTGTGATCCATTTGCCTGGAAACTCATTTTTCATCCTTTAACTTTGAGTCTGTGTGCACCCCTTGTGGTGAGATGAGTCTCCTGGATGTAGCAAATAATTGGGTTATGGTTCCTTATCCAGTTTGCCATTCTGTATCTTTTCAGTGGTGCATTTAGTCCATTTACATTCAGGCTGATTATTGAAATGTGATTGTTTCTCCCTGTCATGAGGTTCTTATAAAGTTTTTTTCTTTGTTTGCTTGCTTTCTTTTGGCTTTGGGGTTAATGTATGTGTGTTTTGAAGTTTCTTGTTGCACTGTTTTCTCTGTTGATTCTGTGCTCTGCTATTCCCTTGGGAAATGTGTGGTTATTCTTTTTCTTTCTTCTGTGCTTAATACCTTTATAAGTGTCTCCTGTAGAGCTGGTCTGGAAGCTGCATAATCTCTTAAGGGAAGGATTTTAATTCTCCATCACTGATGAAGCTGAGCTTGGCTGGATAGGAAATTCTGGGTTGAAATTGTTTTTCTTTGAGGACTTTGAATATAGGGTTCCAGTCCCTTCTTGCTTGTAGTGTTTCTGCCAGTAGGTCTGCTGCTATTCTGATTTGTTTTCCCTGGTAGGTAGTCTGATCTTTCTCTATCACTGACTTTAGAATTTTTTCTCTTGTTCCTACTTTGTGTAGGCCAATTACTATGTGTCTAGGGTTGGTCTTCTCATTTGATATCTTTTGGGGGTTCTCTGTATCTCTTGTGCTTGGCTGGTCACATCTCTTGTGAGATGGGGTAAGTTTTCATGGATTATCTCCTGGAATACTTGCTCCAAGTTGTTCTCCATTTCCCTTTCTTCTTCTGGAATACCAATCAGGCATCAGTTCGGTCTCTTGATATAATCACACATCCTTTTGTAGGCTTTGTTCTTTCTTTCTGAGTCTTTTTTCTATGTTTTTTACAGATTGAGTTAATTCCATGGTCTGGTCTTCAAGTTTGAGATTCTTTCTTCAGCTAGATTAATTCTGCTTTCCATGCTTGTCATCTTGTTATTTATTTCCTGGATGAAACTTTTTATTGCCAAAATCTCTGTTACAAGTTCTTTCAGAGTTGCATCTTGTCTTTCTCGAGTCTTATCCACTCTTTCCATCCATTCCCTATTCCCTGTCATATTCTGGGAACAGTCATTGGTGACTTCTATTGTTTGGGCACCAAGGTCTGACTTTTCAGCAGTTTTGTCATTGGTACACTTGAAATTGCCTAAGGCCTTCCTTTGGTTTTTCCTCATTTGTGAAAGATCTCTTGTTTTTCTCTTTAGTTCTGCTAAATAGTATCAGTGGGAGAGGCTTTTCCTTCTGATGTTTGCTCAGTCCTCTATTCTTCCCTGATCCAGGCTCTGGGTTTGTTCTATTTTGAAATAGGATGGTGGATGAAAAGCCTTGCTGTCTCTTGTAGTTTTTGAAATTTAAATAAAGTAGGGGATGGAGTGCTAGGAATCAGAGACTACTTGCAAATTAAAATGTTCACTTATTGTGGTATATGTTCCCCACCACCACTCTATATGACGATGCAAAGCAGAAACCAATGCAAAAACAATTGAACACATACACACACACACCCCAAAACAAACTGGAATAACAGCAAAGTGAAACAAAACAAACAAAAACAACAACAACAAAAAAAAAACCTCAAGAAAACTAAACACACACACACACACGCCTAGTACAAAGTGAATAGAGAAGAAAAACAGAAAGACCAGAGGAAAATAAAAATAAAAATAAAAAAGGGATTCAGGTTGAACCCTCACACATCTATTGACACATGTCTTAAACTATAAAAAAATGAATATTAAAAAAACCCAGAAAACAAAAGAGCAAAACCTGACAACAACAACAAAATTGAAAGATGAACACAAAATCATTCACATACACACATAAACAGAAAAAGACAAATTAAAGAAGAAAGAAACAGAAAAAGAAAAGAAAAAAAATTTGGGAGGGGGGTGCAGATCAAATCCTCACATACACATTCATGCACAAAGGAAAGATACTTTAAAAGTAGATGAAGTAACAAACAGTCAAAATATTTTTTAAAAATTAAAAAATAATTGAAAAATTAAAAAAAAAAAACCTGGCTTTGCAGACACCACCGCCTTGAGCCTTTTCCCATCAGCCATGGTTAACCCCACCATGTTCTTCGATCTCGAGCCCTTGGGCCATGTCTCCTCTGAGCTGTTTGCAGACAAAGTTCCAAAGACAACAGAAAACTTTCCTGCTCTGAGCACTGGAGAGAAAGGATTCAGTTATAAGGGTTCCTGCTTTCACAGAATTATTCCAGGGTTTATGTGCCAGGGTGGTGACTTTACACACCATAATGGCACCGGCGGCAAGTCCGTCTATGGGGAGAAATTAGATGATGAGAACTTCCTCTTGAAGCATACAGGTCCCGGCATCTTGTCCATGGCAAATGCTGGACCCGACACAAACAGTTCCCAGTTTTTCATCTGCACTACTAAGACTGAACGGTTGGATGGCAAGCATGTGGTTTTTGGCAAGGTGAAAGAGGGCATGAGTGTTGTGCAAGCCATGGAGGGCTTTGGGTCCCAGAATGGCAAGACCAGCAAGAAGATCACCATTGCTGACTGTGGACAACTCTCATAAATTTGGCTTGTTTTATCTTAAACTACCAGATCATTCCTTCTGGTGTAGCTCAGGAGAGCACCGTCTCCATCCTATTTGCTCACAGTATCCCTATAATCTTTGTGCTCTCGCTACAATTCTTTGGGTTCCATATTTTCCTTATTCCCTTCCATGTCTAGTTGGACTGCAGAGAAATAAAAACTAAATAACAAAAACCAAAACAACGCCCCCCCCAAAACACCTGCTCTCTTGTTGCAGGCTCTGTAATTGTTCCTCTAATCAGGTCTCTCCTGCAGATCCACCTCTTTCACTCCGTCCTCAGGGATCAAAGCAGGGAAGGAGGAGGGACCGTGGAGGTGGGTGGGACTGCAGTTTCCCCTCCCACTCCTCTATGGTCAGGGAGATCTCCTCCCATGGTGAGGTGTGGGATTGTGTCCTCCCCAGGTATGTACTCTCACCAGGGGTGCCCCAGTCAGGCTTATCTTGGAATGGGGTTCTCCTATTGCGACAGACGTCCAGGCTCCACTTGGGTTTGTCCCTCTCAGTCATGGCCCAGCTGTGTGGGTCTGACATTCAGAGGATTGCTGGGGAGGAGGGGATTTGGGTCAGCCCTGACTCACCACTGATCTCTTTGGAGTTCTTTCTCATCCTTTTCTGGTCATACCCTTTGTCCCACACCTGGATCAGGGTAGGAGGTGGGGCACCTGGAACCCAGCACTCATCAGGTCCCTCTGAAGTTTGTGCTCTCAGGATATTCCCTCTGGGCCACGATGAATCCCTGAGTCCCTGAGTAGTTGATCCACCAGTCCCAGAGATCGGGTCTGTTGGTCCATGGTGAACAAGTCAAGCACTTTCCTGCCCCGCCTTCAAGATGGTGGCGGGGTGCTTCTCTTGTCCTCTTCTGTGGGAACTTGCCTCTGTACTCCCTCTGCAGGCCCTGCCAGAGCCTTGCCAGGTGCTAAAGTGGTGAGGCAAGGCCAGGAGCTGGCAGTCTGTCTCCTGCCTCAATGGTGAGGGAGTGCCTGGGACGATAGTTTCTCCCTGTTGCTTTTTCAAAGGAAAACTTCTGTCCATAAAAAAAAAAATGGCACTCAACCTCTGCAACCTGGGGAGAGCCAGGGATGAAGTAGAGAAGTTGCAGCCCCAGCTGTTGTACCAGGGGCCTGACCACTCTCTCACAAGCGTCACTTAGTCTCTCCCAGCGTTTTCTTCCCAGGGAGGGTTTGTTGATTTAAAAAAAAAAGGAAAGAAAAAGAAAATGGTGCTCAGCTAGGGTTCAAGCCCAGTAGCTGTGGCACCAGCCATTGCACCAGGAGAACCCTGGCCACCAGCTCCCTAGCCCTCACTCTGTCAGCCACTCACACACCCACTTGCTCACCAGCACGTACACAAAATTTTCCATACACTCAGTCACATGGGGACTCGCATAGTCAAACTGGTTTGGCCGCCATCTTTCCGACTCTCTCCGACTCGTTTTTTTGATGAATCGTATATTTTCTTAACCAATGAATGCCAAGAATGGGACTACTATTCAGTGTCAAAATTGCTGACAATATAAAGTGATCTCAAAAGCTAGGTGCACAAAAGTGTATACACTATGCTACCATTTGTCTGGGAAGTTGTGATATAAATATAGATGTATGGGTATAATATTATACATATATTATATTATGTTTTTTATAAAAGGATAGACCATAAATATCTAAAAATTTATCTCATATAAGGTGATGAAGGGCTCATGAAAGGAATAGATCAAACTTCTCTGAATATACTTTGGTTTGTAGATTTGATTTTGAAATGAGGAAAATATTTTTACATAAGTATAAAACAAATTGAAATATTTTTGGAAGACAGTATGGCGATTTCTGAAAGATCTAGAAATTGACCTTCCATATGACCCAGTAATCCTCCTACTGGGAATCATATCCACAGGAACTCAAATCAATCTACAAAAAAGATACCTGCACATGCATGTTTGTTGCAGCTCTATTCACAATTGCAAACACATGGATCCAACCATGCTGCCCATCAAAGCTGGACTGGATTAAAAAAAAATGTGGTACATATACACAATGGAATATTATGCAGCTATACAAAGAACAAACATATGGACTTTGCAGCAACTTGGATAGATTTAGAGTGGATCATACTCAGTGATCTATCACAGAAACAAGGAACAGAGTACCATATGTTCTCACTCGTAAGTGGGCCTTGAACGATTATCATAATACTATAAGAAAGGGATTGGCAGTAGTTGAGAAACTGCCAGGGGAGGGGGGTGGGATTGGCAGTTGAGGGAAACTGTCACACCTCATCAACAAGGGTACCTGCATAATAAACATTTGCACACCTAACCCTGGATACCTGCACTATGAATATTTGTATACCTAACCCTGAATTGTACCCCACAATTTTAAAAGAAAAAAAAATTAATTTGCGTGTACATTCTTAGAGAAACATACCCTTAGAACAACAACAAGAAGAAAAAAAACATAAAAAAGGAAAACAGCTTCAAAAGTTTTTAATACTCATATTATCAACTATAGGGTTACAGTAGTCCTTCTGAGATTTAAGACTGTTGGATTCAAGTTAAATACCCCTTAAACTCTAACTGAAAGTATTTATATAAACTCATGATGCATTTTATTTTAGAAAAATAAAGCATATTTCCTAGCTTTATGCACTGAAAAAGTCTGGAAACAACAACCAACCCATTAATAATTAATGGTTTTAGTGCCTGGAGTGTGGTCTGTGTTGTATGTACTATTTCCCCTTAAACACAGCCAGGGCTTGTTGGAGACATGACTGATTCCAGATCTGGGACAGGAAATATATAAGGTGAGCCTGCAATATTTGTCATATCAAAAGAAAGGAAGCTATCAAAGATCACCAGAGTCATGTCAAAAAATCCAGGAGCTAACTTCAGTTCCCATTTTTCAAAGATGGGACGATTTGAGCAACATTAATAAGCTTAACATACCAAAACACACCAAATAAGTGTGTTTGTATTCATGAATTTATTAGGCTAAATACATACACCATACACACACACACACACACACACACACACACACACACACACACACACCCCCAAGCAAACTAACAAAACATCTCTTTAGCTGCCTAAGATGCTAGGGAACCAAGTCATTGTTTTGACTTTTCTATGTGAACTCTACTTTAGGGTATCCAAATAGTTGATGAGAGAAAGTCTTTATAGAATTAGGCCAGATAATAAATGAAGCAGGATCACTAGAATCAGCATATCACCACTTTGCAACCTCTGGTGAAATAGATCTAGGAATGATGATCCTCGGTGGCTACTAACTGACCAGAGGGTAATTCTCCTTATGAAGGTATACAACTCTATGTACAAATCTAGTGGAAGAGATCTCAAAATATGTAAGGAGCAGAAAAACATGTTCACACACATGCTAGAGATGCAACTAGCTACATCTGGATAATGGGACACAACTGGTGCTATTTAATGTGGGTCCACAGACTAGCATTATTTGGGAGCTTGTTGAAAATGCACATTCTCAGTCAGACTCTAGCTCAGACCTACTGAATCCAACTTTCTGTGGCTAGGACCTGGGAATGTGCACTTGAACAAGCTTGCCACAGGGGATTCTTTTCCGTGCTAAAATGTGAGAAGCATTGATATGTGAGACAAGCAACCTGGTTTCTTTAACAGCTGAACTGCAAAAAAACCTCCCAAAAAACAAAAATCACAACTTAGGGGACCTATAGATTCAAAAATAATTTTTAAAAATATAAATAACATGCACTATGTGAACCTTGTTGAGTCACTGATTTGAAAAATCTGTAAAAATCTTCTATGAGAAAAATGGAGAAATCGGAATACTGACTTGGTATTTGATATAAAGAGATCATTGTTCATTTTTAAATATATGATACTTGTCTTATGATTGTGTTTTTAAAAAGACTTTTCTTTCAAATACATGTTTTTAAACTTTTGTGTGTGAAATGATGTCAATTTGGGATGTGTTTCTTAATAATTCCGGGATAGTAGGTGAAAAAAATTGGAGGCAGGGGTGTGACTGAAACAAGATGAACTGTAGCTTCATAATTACAGTGCTGGGCACAGGGGAGTTCGTCATGCTACTCTGTTTCGGTGTTTTTAACTTTCTACAATAATTTTTGAAAAGACACTCAGAAAAATTATATAGCAAATATAACAAAATGTACAACTTTTAAACTGGATTGATAGAGTGGTTTTTTAATGCTCTTTCCGCTTTTCCATATGCTTGAAAGTTGCATCTATAATTAAAAGTTTAAAAGCACATCATTGGGAAAAATCAAAATAGTTTTTCATGCTTAAAAATGTGGGTATCTCTTTAAAAAACATTTGATATGATTGTTTTGGCCATTGTTGATCCAATTTTACGTTCAGAAACTATATTAGACAACTTCAGGTGATATTACCTTAAGCGTATTATCACCAATTTGAAGGTGAGGTCTTGGAGGCATCTCCCAGGATCACAGTGCTGTGATGCGATTCCATGTTGGTCTCTGTCTAGTTCTGTGCTCTCTCTACGCTTCTCGCAGCTAGAACATTTTATCTAGCATATTGTTCATAATTCCTACCGCTTGGGGATCCTTTAGGTATTCTAGAGCATTAAGTGATAGCATTCTGTTTGTGTATTTGTTAGCTGATTTTTTACTTTACAATGTTATTGAGTCGTACATACACCAAAATGCCAGAACATTAAGCGCACAGCTTCATGAGTTTTACTTATGTTTGCAAGCCTTGTACTGCCACCCAGATCAAGATGCAAGACACTTCCAGCACCCTCCACCCCTTGGGTACCTTCCTTGTCAAAACCTTGTCCCCATAGGTAACAACTATGCTAATTTCTATCATCACAGATGGCCTCATATTGAGTAATTACATATGTCTGGCTTTCTTCACTCAACTTTATGCCTGTGAGACCCATCCATATTATATTGTATGTGGCAGTAGCTTATTCTTATTTATCGCCGCATAGTATTTCATTGTATGC